AGATTGTATTTCTTTTCTATTTTTTAACAGAAAGTGACAGAAAAGTCAACAAAATAATGTCAATAGTAAATGATGCTTTATACCTGTTGATTTTCCTTCTCTAGTTGTTCCTATATGTAATTAAAACAAAGTAGAACATAAACTTAAATTGTTACTTTTCAGACCATTATTTCACAGTAATTTCCCATGTTAATTAGCTTTATAGCGTGGTGGTTTATTTATTTCTCAACCAGGTAGCAAATTCAAATAATTCTTAATTATTAAATTATTCCCTATTTAATCTTTCGTTTGCCACTTCAAAATAGTGTGCTTTAGCAGTTCGCTTAAAATCATTGAAAACACGACAGTTTCTAATTTCTAGGGGTAAAATATTAAAAAATTTTGCAGCACTGGCTTGAAAAGTGTTATTTTCAAGGGGCACAGTGAGTTTGGTTGCTGAGGATGACCTCAATGTTCTGCCAGGAGTGTGCGTACAACTCCAGCTTCAAGTATGAAGGCAAAAAGTGGCAAAAAAGTCAACATAATGTATAGTCAATATAAGTGAATGCTGTTTTACTCTGTCCCTGTCTTGTTCCACCTGCTTTTCTTGTTGTTCGCTCTAGAACATAAAGTATTAGTTTGTGTTACTTCTCAGACCAATATTTCACTGTATTATAGCTTTATAGGCTTATAGCATCAGCTGTAGCTTTTGGTAATGGTGATCCATAAAACGTTTATTAATTGAATGGGAAGCAATTCATTTGTCAGTGCATGGGAAGTCCTGGGATGGTATTCTTAACCTTTTCAAAGAAAACTCCGAACTGCAAGATCTGAACGAATACCCTGAGGAATAGCATGCGTGTTTCAAGGGCGATAATCCTTCTGAAAAGTGTGTTGGGTAGGGGCGGAGATCCATGTCCTTCACAGCATTTGACATCCGTCTCATGCATGATTTGGCTAAATTGCAGAATACCCGTCCACTTTTGAAGGTATCACTTGTTATCATGATACGATGATACGAAGTGAAAATGATTACGTAATAACTAGATAACCGCGCTATTATAAAATCCTGGGTAAGCTATATTTTTGCTTGATACGATGATACGATGATACGAAGTGAAAATGATTACGTAATAACTATATAACTGCGCTACTATAAAAGCCTGGGTGAGCTATATTTTCAAAATGCGTTTTTATCTAATTGTTCACAAACATATTTATCAATTCTGAATTACTTTTAGTATGTATATATGTGTTTGCCTCGTTCTTTGAAAGCACGTGTCGATCATATACACAAATGTAGACTTATATCATCTATATATAGCTTACCCTTGCTTTTATAATGGAGCGGTTATATACCTATTACGTAATCATTTTCACTTCGTATCATCGAATGATCGTATCACGCAAAAATATAGCTTACCCAGGATTTTATAATAGCGCAGTTATATGGTTATTACGTAATCATTTTCACTTCGTATCATCGTATCATGATAACAAGTGAGGTCTTCAAAAGTGGACGGGTATTCTGCAATCGCTCCCATGATTTACCCAAAAATCGTTTGCTACCCATGATGTGCATGTTTAGCTTTCTAATGTGCATTTCAAACAGGACACATTAACAGTCAACATTAAAAAAATTGTTAAATTTTATAACTTTATACCTTAACCATGTAAGATATTTTATTTACCTTTTCAATCTCAGAGGCTTTAAGTTGCGCTTTAAGCTAAAAAGTAGAGTTCACATGTGTCAGTCGTAAAATGATTGCTAATGATTTCCAATTTTGGGGCGATAAAACGTTAAAGGAATTAAATTAAGATTGTATTTGTTTTTTATTTTTTAACAGAAAGTGTCAAAAAAGTCAACAAAATAATGTCAATAGTGAATGATGCTTTATACCTGTTGGTTTTCCTTCTCTAGTTGTTCCTATATAATTGAAACAAAGTAGAACATAAACATGTTATATTTCAGTATTTCACAGTCGCATCTAATTCCCATGTTAATTAGCTTCATAGCGTGGTGGTTTTTGGTAACGTTGATCCATAAAACGTTTATTAGATTAGAATCTGTCAGTGGAAAGTCTTGTGTTGGTATTTTTAACCTTAACACGATTGACATCCACGCATGATGTACCCAAAAATCGTTTGCTTAAAACTCGTTTGCTGTATTCATGCTTATATATAAGACACTTTTATTCTTTCAGCTGGATAAAACCGTAAAATTAAAAGTTCTAGATTTTCAGGATTTTTTTATTTTGGCGTGATAAAACTTTAAAGGAATAAAATTTGCATTTCTAACGGGAAAGTGGCAAAAAAGTCAACGTAGTAATGTCAATAATGAATGATACTTTACCTCCATCCGCTTTCTATCTTCCTATATAATGAAAACAAAGTAGAACAGTAATTCCCCATGTTAATTAGCTTTATAACATGGTAGTTTTTCGTAATGCTGATCCATAAAATTTTTATTATTTCTCAACCAGGTAGCAAAGTTTAGAGTGTGTCAGTGCATGGGAAGTCCTGGGTTTGTATTCTTAACTTTAACCATGCAGTCTCAGAGGCTTTAAGTTGCGGTTTAAGCTAAAAATTAACATGTTGACATGTTGTATCAGTCGCAAATAATTTCCAATGTTGGGGTGATAAAACTTTAAAGGAATAAATTAAGATTGTATTTCTTTTCTATTTTTTAACAGAAAGTGACAGAAAAGTCAACAAAATAATGTCAATAGTAAATGATGCTTTATACCTGTTGATTTTCCTTCTCTAGTTGTTCCTATATGTAATTAAAACAAAGTAGAACATAAACTTAAATTGTTACTTTTCAGACCATTATTTCACAGTAATTTCCCATGTTAATTAGCTTTATAGCGTGGTGGTTTATTTATTTCTCAACCAGGTAGCAAATTCAAATAATTCTTAATTATTAAATTATTCCCTATTTAATCTTTCGTTTGCCACTTCAAAATAGTGTGCTTTAGCAGTTCGCTTAAAATCATTGAAAACACGACAGTTTCTAATTTCTAGGGGTAAAATATTAAAAAATTTTGCAGCACTGGCTTGAAAAGTGTTATTTTCAAGGGGCACAGTGAGTTTGGTTGCTGAGGATGACCTCAATGTTCTGCCAGGAGTGTGCGTACAACTCCAGCTTCAAGAATGAAGGCAAAAAGTGGCAAAAAAGTCAACATAATGTATAGTCAATATAGGTGAATGCTGTTTTACTCTGTCCCTGTCTTGTTCCACCTGCTTCTCTTGTTGTTCGCTCTAGAACATAAAGTATCAGTTTGTGTTATTTTTCAGACCGATATTTCACAGTAATTTGCCATGTTAATTAGCTTTATAGGCTTATAGCATTTTGGTAGTTTTTGGTAATGCGGCGTGATCATAAAACGTTTATTATTTGGGTAGCAAAGTTTATATAGAATACGAATTAATTTGTCAGTGGTAAGTCCTGGGATGGTATTCTTAACCTTTTCAAAACAAACTCCGAACTGAAAGATTTGAACGAATACCCTTTTGAAAAGTGTGGGGTTGGGGGGGGGGAGAGGGCGGAGCCGACAAGCTTACGTGATATGATAGATTATATTACGAATATCCAAAAGTAAGAGGATACGATCCCTGTCCCCCCAGAAGATTGACATCCACTCATGATTTACTCCAAAAGCGTTTGCCCAAAAAGCGTTTCCTACCCATGATGTGCTTGGCTATTTATTGTGTGTTTGAAACAGGACATGTTAACAGTCACCATGCATACATTAAATACTAAATTATTAAATTTTATAACTTTGTTCCTTAACTATGTTAGTTATTTTATTTACCTTTTCAGCCCCAGAGGCTTTAGGGTGCGCGTTAAGCTAGAAATGAGACATGTTGACACGTATCAGTCGCAAATTATTTCCAATTTTGGGGCGATAAAAATTTAAAGGAATAAATTAAGATTATCTTCTTTTTCTAGTTTTTAACAGAAAGTGACAAACAAAATCAACAAAATAATGTCATTAGTGAATAGCCGATGCTTTATACCTGTTGGTTTTCCTTCTCTAGTTGTTCCTATATGTATAAATTAAAACAAAGTAGAACATAAACGTGTTACTTCTATTTATTTCTCAACCAGGTAGCAATGTTTAGAGTCTGTCAGTGGGAAGTCCCGGGTTTGTATTCTTAACCTTAACCACGATTGACATCCGCGCACGATTTACCCAAAAATCGTTTGCCAGATACCCACGATGTGTTTGGCTATATACCAGCGTCAATTAAATTGCCATGTAAATCGTGCTTATACAGGTGTATGTACCACAGAATACCAGTCTTATTTATTTCTCTTATAAAATTTGAAGAAAATATGTTATAAACTTTATTTTTGTGAATATATATTAGTTTAAATCTTAACTGACATATAAAAACGAAAATGGATATTTTCTTAAAAATAATCAGGATTAACAAAAAGTAACATTCTATGTTTTTGGTACTTTTTTATAAAATCCGAATGTTTAAAAATAATTTCGCAAACCAGCATAATTTATGTGGATCAATACTTTTTCTATGCAACACAACATTATTACCACATTGGAATCACACAGTGTAATCAATTTTATACCACTGAAAAACTGAATTTTTAAAAATTATTGATAAACCTGGTATTCTTTAGTTATACCACTGGTATTCTGTGCTGATTTTAGTATTTAACTTTCACTAAATTAAGTTAGCAATATCCTACAGTATTATCACACAATATGATACACCAAGTCCTGGTACAATTTGATAAACCGTTCCTTACTTACCTCTGCACTGATATTCTGTGGTACATTAAATTTTTTTCCACAGAATATTCATTTAAAAAAAAACACATTTAAGTTTATGAAATCTTGCCCCATAACCCCCAGAAAGAAAAAATATATCTATAATCTATCGATTATACTAAAAAATATTAAGAAACCATATTATACATTAGATATGGAACATGTAAATTGTTGCGGTATTCTGTGGTACATATACCTATATATAAAGTACTGTTATTCTTTCAGCTGGATAGAACCTTGAAAAAGCTCTAAATTTTCAGGATTTGAAGAATTTTTGAGATTCTTGACGAGCGCTATGAAATATCCCGAAAAGACCGATGTTGGTTTCGAAACGGAAGGTCAAATTAATGTTTTCGAAAAGGTTCAATGGGAAACAAACAAGTTGTTATTTTCCGCTATAAGCAAAAGTTCCCATCAAAATGCGTAAGTATGGTCAGCAAATGCGTAATGCGGTTGCCTAGCCTAGCCACGCTATGTCCGTTGCGAAAAACATAGGTTTGTAGATTACGCAGTAAATTCCGGTTTGTTTTTGTGCAAAAACAGTCTACCCAACTTGTAAACTTCATTCTGCAATAAGTCTTTAA